ATCCTGTTGTTGCCTTGTGTTATGGAGATCTCGTAACTTTGGTTTTGAAGGACCAGCCCCTTCCCATATTTCAGCAGATCATAGACGGGGTAGATGTTGGGTTGGGCCTGGGTGGTAGCTGAGTTGGTCAGCCTGCCAGCTCTCCCATGCTCATCTCCAGAGCCATGAAGGGGGTAGCCCACCTGAGTGCCACAACCAGTGAGGGGTGGAGCCAGTTCTGCACAGCCGTCAGACATCAACACGGCCCCAGGCAGCACCAGCAGCCCAGACCAGGGACATCTGCATGGCCTTTGGTAATAACATGGCCGTAGACATCTACACAGACCTCCACTGCTGCAAGACTAGGAACACAGACATGGTCCCAGGTGGTGTCCCAGGCTCCTCACATCAGGCTGTTCCTCACTCCCCTTGAGTCTCCAGTTCTGCCTCTCTTGACTGTGCACACACCCTTCTGTTTCTCTTTCTCGTTCATCTCTCCACCACTTACTTGCTCAATTTACTGGCACTCAGGACCTTCAAAATGGCATCTTTGGGAATATTTGAATGTTTCAAAAACCTTCAGTGTTATATACATAGATTTTGATAAGATATCATTCAAAATGGATTCTCTTTTATATAATACAAATATATAATCATAAAATTCATGTGATTTCTTCAAAATATTCCTAATATAAAACTGTTAAATGTAGACCTCCTTTTATTCATGTTGGAACATACATAAATTAATAGATATGTTTACTGAAGATGTCAATGCTCTGAAGATGTCAATGCTCTTTTTTTTTTTTTTTTTTTTTTTTTGATTTTTTGGTTTCTTGGTTTTTCAAGACAAGGTTTCTCTGTGTAGCCCTGGCTGTCCTGGAACTCTGCCTCTGCCTCCCAAGTGCTGGGATTAAAGGCATGTGCCACCACTGCTCGGCTGTCAATGCTCTTTCTTGTAGAATTATTATGAATTGTGCTAAGCCCTGCCTAGCTTCAAATGAAAGATACTCAAACTATATTTATTTATTAATTACTATGTGCAATTACTGGGGGACTACCCTTAATCTAAATCTCTAATGCTAGTCTAGCTACTACCTCAACTGTGCTCCCTAAATACTTGCTGTTTGAAATTCTCTGGGTTATTTCTGCTCCAGCAGGCTGGCCTCCTGGGGAGGCATTTCACTCTGGCATGTGCTGATGGTCTGTCATGCCTCACGGAGACCTCCTCTTCTCTTTCCTTCCTCTCCTACCTGAAACCCAAATCTCAGTAACTCAAACTCTACCTCTTCCTATTCCCCCCACTAATTGGCTGTCACTGGTTTTATTTAACTAATAGTTTTAAATTAGAGAGCAATGTCACACAACAAAGACTGATATACATAAGGATCCTTTTGTCCTGGAGCAACTGGATCATGGAGTACAGAATTTAGCATTTTCACAAGCAGCACCAGGCCAACCCCTACATCTTTTCTTTTCATAATGAGGACTATAAAAAACATAATCCTTGGCCAGGCAGTGGTGCCACATGCCTTTAATCCCAGCACTTAGGAGGCAGAGGCAGTTGGATCTCTGTGAGTTTGAGGCCAGCCTGGTCTACAGAGTGAGTTCAAGCTATACAAAGAAACTGTCTCAAAAAACAAACAAATATATATATACATATATTTATATATCTGTTTGTATATATGCACTTTGTATGTATGTACATATGTACGTATTTATGTATGTATAATCCTAACAAAGTCTTGTTTTATTAAAATATATCTTGGGCTAGAGAGATGGCTCAGTAGTTAAGAGCACTGGCTGTTCTTCCAGAAGATCCCGTATTCAATTCCCAGGACTCACATGGCAGCTCAGAACTGTCTATGGTTCCAGCTGCAGGGGCTCTGACACCTTCAGAAAGACAGACATGCAGGCAAAACATCAATGCACATAAAGTAAAAACAAATCATTAAAATATATCTTATGCATGATTATGTATATAAACTCTCTGTCTACATGTGGTTATGTTTTCTTTTTACATAATGTACTTATTGCCAAATTGGCTCATGAGTAAGTGCTTGTGTAAACTAAAGTTGTTAACTTGGCTTCGCTTCATTTTGGCTCACAGTGAAATTAAAATTTTAACAAGTAAAGTTATAATAAAAGAAAAAAATAATTTAATAAATGTGACCACATAGGTAAAACAAATAGACATGGGTAGTGGTCCTAAATCTTTCTTTGAGGCAATTTACTTGAGTTCTTAAATTTACAAATTTTAAGTCTGCTTTTAAGGACAAGATATACATAATAATGTAATTCTAGTCAATCTCTCTCTCTTTTTTTAAAGATATATTTATTTATTTTATGTATATGTATACATTGTTGCTGCCTTCAGACACACCAGAAGAGGGCATCAGATCTCATTACAGATGATTGTGAGCCACCATGTGGTTACTGGGAATTGAACTCATGACCTCTGGAGTAGTCGGTACTCTTGACCTCAGAGCCATCTCTCCAGCCCCCTGGTCAATCTCTTATCCTTGATCTTTATCCCAACTAAGTTCTGTAACATGCTCCCCATTGACGGACTTTAGACAAGCTCACTCCTACTGAACCACGTGTCTTTCCTAGTAGATAATTGAGGTATCTTAGATATCTTACACAGATACCTTAGAGTTCTACAAATCATCTTAATGTGCTACACTATAATGATATATTTTAAATTATTCATTTTTTAGCTATAAATAGAAAATAATACGCTGGGTGGTGATGGCACATGCCTTTAATCCAAGCAATAAGAAGGCAGAAGCAGGCAGGTCTCTGTGAGTCTTAGACCAGCCTGAACTACAAAGCAAGTTCCAGGACAGTCAAGAGTATTATAAAATGAAACCTTATCTCAAAAAACCAAACTCATCATCATCATCATCATGGTCATCATCATAAGTACCAAACTTTAACCTTTTTTGGATGCTTTATCCTACTTTGGATGCCCCATAAACACAAATAGAAAGTAAATGCTTTTTCTAAACAAAGAACCGTTTCAAGATACATGTTATATTAACTTAAATCTTGAATAAGTATTTAATTTGAATTTGGTTAAGAAAACAAATTATTGATATACTCTATTGTGTTTAACTATTAGATAACTAAGATACATGTATTTTTGTGGTTTAGATAGAGCCTTCTGAGTTTTCCTTTTTACCTCATTAAAACTGTTTTCTTAATTTTGTATTGACAATATCAATGTTAAGATTAAAGTATGTTGTAAATATTGTTAAAAATATGATTATAACTACGTTAAGATACTATAAAGATTATATTTTTTTGAGACAGAATTTCTTTATGTAGCCCTGGCTGTTCTGAAACTTGCTCTGTAGACCAGGCTAACCTCAAACTCACAGAGATCCACCTGCCTCTACCTCCCAAGTACTGGGATTAAAGGGATGTGTCAACATTGCCTGTTGGTTATAAAAATTTTTAAGGTTAATTCTACACCCTGACATAAAGTCAATGCTTACTTTTCTACAATTTTTGTTATTGTTTGGTTTTTTGAGACAGGGTTTCTCGGTGTAGTCATAGCTATCCTAGAACTTACTCTATAAACCAGACTGGCCTCGAACTCAAAGATCCACCTGCCTCTGCCTCCTGAGTACCAGTTAAAGGGGTGCATCACTGTCGTCCAGCTTCCTACAATATTTTCTTAAATATTGATCTGTTCTTAGTATCCTTTTACTAAATAAACATTTAAAAATCATGATTACATTTGGGGTTTTTTTTATGTTTACCCATTGGACAAAGCATTTGCTTTTTGGATAGTATTGCTTTAGCTATTTAAAAAAATCTGTTTAGATAGTGATGCTGATGTAAGGGTGGTTCTGATGCTAAGGTCCCATTCCCCAATTGGTTCTTGATCAATCAGTAAAGAAGCCATGGGCTAATTGCTGGGTGGTAGGAATAGGCGGGGCTTCCGGGTTCCTGGGAGGCAGGAGACAGACACAGGAGAGGAAGAGAGAGTTCACCATGCTTCAGAAAGAGAAAAGCCAAGCAGTCATGTGAGGCCGTGGGTAAAGAGGCCACAGGCCATTTCTACAGGGGGCAATTGGGGATGTTTAGCTGGGACTCGATGTAACTGAGCGACTAAAGATGAGGGCAGGTGGAGTGGTGCGGAGCTGAGAGTGATGATAAGGGCTCGCTTCTCCGGGAGGGAGACAAGTAGCGCCCAGCAATTGTGCTTATAAGGCAAGTTGGAATTGAGCAATGTATGTGTTTGTGTTTCTTATCCATGAATTCAAGGGAATCTGGGTTGGGGCTGATAGCACGGCCCATTCCTGGAGCTTAGGCAGAGTAGCAAAAGCTACACGCAATATGCTTACTTAGAACTTTTTACTAAATTAAATACTAATTACAAAATGTATTTTCTTGGATGAATATTGAAATCTGTTTATAAAGTTTTGTCTACTAGATAAACAAATAGCGCATGGTGTTGTAAAAGACTTGACTATAAGTTAAAAATTAGTTACACAGTCTTCTTCAAAAGATAAAAATTAGATGATTTCACTAAAAGAAAGACATCATATCAGTGACTTCATTCTGATTTAAAGATGAGGATTTACTCCAGCTACTTCTAACTCACTCCTAGGAGATGCTGAACTTTCTTCTGTCGTCTGAGAGCACATTCGTTCGGACTTGGAAAATGCTGGCCTATGGTCATTGTCACCAACAACAACAATCAAGTTCCCCAAATAAACAAACGTTCCTCTCACTGCTTATGTTTATCATTTTTGTGATTAGACTTTAAAAATTATTTATGATATCTAGTAATCTACCTCATATATTTTTAAATGATAATTTTTTTTCAAGAGGTTTCTCCATGCAATGCTGGCTGTCCTAGAACTTACTGTGTAGACCAGGCTGGCTTCGAACTCACTGCCAGCCCCTTCTTCCCAAGTACTATAATTAAAGACATGAGCTGCCACTGCCAGAGATAAAATAATATTAATCTTAGTTTTAAGAAGTTACAAATGATTCTTTCGAGTCTTGGCTCCAAGATGACCAAAAAAAGAAGAAACAACGGTCGTGCCAAAAAGGGCCGCGACCATGTGCAGCCAATTCGCTGCACGAACTGCGCCCGGTGTGTGCCCAAGGATAACGCCATTAAGAAGTTTGTCATTCGGAACATTGTAGAAGCTGCTGCTGTCAGGGACATATCTGAAGCAAGCGTCTTCGACGCTTACGTCCTTCCCAAACTCTATGTCAAGCTGCATTACTGCGTGAGCTGTGCCATTCATAGCAAGGTCGTCAGGAATCGATCTCGGGAAGCCCGGAAGGACCGAACTCCCCCACAAGGATTCAGACCTGCTGGCGCTGCATCACGACCCCCACCAAAGCCCATGTAAAGAGGTGGTTTCTTAAGGGCGAAAGGAAAGATGCTTTGGGAAAAATAAAACGGAAGTTCTACTTTAAAAAAAAAAAAGAAGTTACAAATGGGGGCCTGGGGGCCAGAGTGAGGGGGGCCCAGAACAAGGGGATGGGGGCAGAGGGAGCAGGGGCTGGAGCAAGCAGGGCCAGAGCAAGAGGGAGAAGGAGGGGAAAAGAAAAAGAAAAAGAAAGGTTACAAATGAAAATATTATGTCCTTTCACTTGGTCATACCTTTTTGTTATGATGGTTTGCTTACCCTAAATCCTTACCTTATTCAAAATTAATATTTGAAATATTCAGGTTTTTTATTTTCTTTATATACATACATATATATATGTACATATATATATGTACGTATATATATGTATATATATATTCTCTTACTCTGTACAATTTGGATAATACAAAAAAATATCTTGTTTTTAAATTAAATTTAACACCATTTACTCTAGCTAGAGATTTGGGTTAATTCTTCTTATCCAGAGTTTACAACAGACATCAATATCTAATAGCAACAACATCCATGATGAGTTACACATTAAGTATTTATGCTTATTGATATAATTAGTATTTGAACATCCTATAGTACAATTGGCAGGGAATAAAAAATTAACCAACACTTGTATTTTAAAAGAGAGAGACAGTACTTCAGATACACCTTCATTTCCAACCATTTAAATATAAAATATAAAATATAAAATAGTTCATCAAGTACAAATAACTATATATATGGAGAAACTGTGTAGTCGAATTCATTTAAAAATATGTAAATTGTGGTTATTTTAGATGTGTTTCTTTCATCTGTAATCTTTACTCCATTAGGAGAAACTATGTTCTTGATTTCTTAATTTTAGTTGTAACAATCTATATCACAAGTAAATGTTATGGCAGATACAGAGATCATTGAGAGAGAGAGAGAGAGAGAGAGAGAGAGAGAGAGAGAGATTGAGAAGATTGAGAAAGAGAGAGAGAGAGAGATTGAGAAAGAAAGAATGAATCAGATCCAGATCATGATGGCCAATCGTTTTGCTATGACCCAGGAGTTTCTTTCATGACGGTCTTTGCCTCTCTTCTGAAGAAGGATTTCCTGCCTCTACACAGCCTTATGTACCTCAGACCCTAGAAATGAGCTTCCTAGCTATGAGGGACCATAACGTGTTTAATAAATAACATGTGGCCCCCATATGAAGCCAACAGAAGGAACCATGAACAAAAACTCCTGGAAAGAAGCTGTGCCTGGCTGTGAACACAACTTCCTGAAATACTTTTAATCCTTTATTGTTTAAACTTTCATTAATTATAATCATAAATAGGAAAAATAAATGGTCACCATGTCTGCAGAGACCGATTGGCTACAATTTCATTACTGTGGAGATACTGTAATTTTGTAAGTTTAGAAGCTAATTACCTTATCTTAGGGTAGCCCTAGCCTTCTGGAACATCATTTCTTGCCCACCTCTGTGTTGGAATTAACACCTTATGACTCAATAGCTAGAAACTTTTTAGAATCTACTGACTTACCAGATGACTAGAGTACACTAATCCAAAAGCTAAGAATGGCATCAGATACATCTTGGGCCTGTTGGAAAGCTTCACCCATCTCTCTGTCTCTCTACTGTCCCACCAATGTATTTTAAACTTGCCTTGATTTACGACTTTCTTTGTCCTGTATAACTATAAAACTTCATGAAACTGCTTTCATATTGGAACATGGAATTTTAGGTAACCTAAGTCTGTGTTTCCAGGCCATAGTCACCCAGAGTAAGCTATCTCTTATTCAAGAAGGAAGGTGGGGGAGAGGAGAGGGGAGAGGAGAAGGAGGGGGAGAAGGAGGGGGAGACTGAAATGACAACAACAACCACTTGCTATTCTTCCTTTCATGAACTGCAATTCACATCTGGATGCCCAGAAACACCTGTAACTCCCGATCCAGGGTATCTGATGCTTTTTTTTCCTAGTCTCCAAGATACCAGGCACACATACCCATAATTAAAATAAAATAAATCATTAGAAAAAAATTTAAAATATACTTTTAATCCTTTATTGTTTAAGCTTTCATTAATTATAATCATAAATAGGAAAAATTAGTGGTCACCAAACACTGTTCTTTGGGATGACTTTTAGAATTAATCTGAAAGTTAAACGTAAACACAGGAAGGAAAACCAGCCTTATTATTGTTATTGTTATTGTTATTGTTATTGTTATTAGTAGTAGTAGTAGTGGTAGTGGTAGTAGTGTGTGTGTAAAATACAGGTGTGTGCATGCCATAGCATGTGTGTGGAGGTCAGATAACTTTCAGGATTTGGTTCTTTCTACTCACAGTGATATGTAGCACTCTAGAACTTGAACTCAGGTAACTATGTAGTTCTACCTGGCCTAGAACTCACTATGTAGACCAGGTTGGCCTCAGAGTCACGGAGGTCCACCTGCCTCTGCCCTTCAAATGCTGAAATTAAAGGTATATACCACCACACCCAGTCTTTATTTACTTAATTATATTTTTCACATTTATTTACTTATTTTGTGTATTTGCGTGGCTACACACGTGCTATGAGACTGGTGTGAAGGTCAGAGGGAGGTCAGAGGGCAACTGGCAGCATTCAGAGTGCCGTCTCTCTCTCCTCCCCCAGCCCTACATGGGTAGGCTCTGGGGATTAAACTCAAGTTGTTAGGTTTGGCAGCAAACGCCTTTGCCCAATGAGCTGTTTCACCGAGGCCTGAGAACATACATTTTTAAAAAGAAAGCTTTTCTTACATTTTATTTATTTATTTACTGTATGTGTGCATGTGTGCATGTGTGCATGTGAGGTCAGAGGAAAGCAGTGACTATTTTTTCCTTCCGTGTGAGTCCTGGTGATAGAACTCTGCCATCAGGCTTGGGGACAGGCATTTTTACCCACTGAAGCCATCTCCAAGACTCAGAAGACTTCTTCTTCTTTTTTAATCAAGTGGTTCTCTGAATAGTCTTTACTAGGCTATAAAAAAAAAAAAGGGACATTTTAAGTGATTTCTGTTGTTTGGGATAGGAGCACAGCATGAAGATCCTTGTACCCACTGATCTCCAGAGAAACTAGGAATGTTAAACACAGGATTGTCTTTCCAATGGGAAAGATGAAAAACCTGTTCTTTCATCTCCCAAAAGGGACATTGTAAGAACTCACAAAATTGATAGGTGGTGGTGTACACCTTTAATCCCAGCACTTGGGAGGCAGAGGTAGGTGTATCTCTGCGAGTTAAAAGCCAGCCTGGTCCACAGAGTGAATTCTAGGACAGCCCAGGCTACACACACACACACACACACACACACAACCAAAAAACCCTGCCTTCAAAAACAAATAAACAAACTCACAAAGTCAGTCCATTTCATGAGTTGTTTTCAGCTGTACTTTACAGTTGGCTTTGCTGACTGTATTCTCTATTCTTACATTCTTGTTTTCTCTGGACACTTTAGAAAGGAGGTATGGTGATTGGAATGAAAAATGGCCCCCATAGGTTCATAGGGAGTGGCATTATTTGAAAGGATTAGGACATGTGGCCTTTTGAATTAGGTGTGGCCTGACTGGAGGAAGTGTGTCACAGGGGTAAACTTTGAGGTTTCAGAAACTCAAGCCAGGCCCAGTGGATCACTCTCTCCACCTGCTGCCTGCCAATCCAGATGTAAAACTCTCTCCCAGCTCCTCTAGCCCAACCTCTCCCTGCACTACCATACTTCCCACCATGACTAATGGAGTAAACCTCTGAAACTGACAGCCATCCCCAGTCAAATGTTTTTCTTTATAAGAGTTGCCATCATCATGATGTTTCTTCACAGCACTAGATCACCAATTAAGACAGGAGGGCTGCCACTGGTATACAGGAGCAGCAGCTGAAGCTCAAGGGCACGCAGTGGGTAATGATGAGACCAGAAGTGAACCTTAAGAACTCTTCTTTCTCTTCTCTGTGCTGCCTCTGGTGAGTTATTTTGGAGCAAAGACAATCTCCAGTTGACTCCAGAAAGAGCTGGGAAAAGGAATCCGGCCTTCCTTGAGGCTTCTGCGGGCAGTGGTGGAAGTAAACAACAACAACAAAATCACTTCAAGAAAAATTAGAACTCAGCCTCTGCTGGAGTCACCATCCTCAATAGGAGATTTTTTTCTCCTTGGCCAGACTGAAGCTGTTTGTTGTTTTAGAGGTCTGTAGGCTTGAACTTTGTACCTAAGGATGACCTTAAACATCTGACCGTCCTGCCTCTACCTCCTAAGTGTATGTGGATTTATGTGATCATGGGAATGAAATTCACAACCAGCCGAACACTATACCCATTGAGCAATGCTCCAATCAAACTTGAGGTTTTGTTGGGTGGCAGAAACAGACAAAACCACATAGATTATTAAGCAATCAATTAATTCCATAAATCAGAATGTGTACCCAAAGTGTGCTCTCTCTCTCTCTCTCTCTCTCTCTCTCTCTCTCTCTCTCTCTCTCTCTCCCCCCACCCCCATGTGTGTGCAAGTGCCCGCGCATGGGCATGGTGTAAGTAAATTTATATTAATGAAAATAAGTGTATAATATTCTACCAACTACAGGTTCCTTAGGGTTCAGACTCTCATTGGAAATGCAAATGCCTTTTGACAGGAAAAAAAATCAACAGCATAATGTAATAGTTCTTTGACCACTTAGGTGCTAGTGTTGGCTTTGGAGCAACTAGCAGAATGGTGAAACTTTATAATAAATAGAATAGAATAATTTTAATACATCCTATTTATAATAATAAAATAATAATGTGTAATTATACATAATTATAAATAAAATGTAATGTAAATATAATAATATACTATAATAAAAGAGCCTTATAATAAAGGTCTGGTGAGTAAGCACAACATGGTAGAAACCTTGTGGTGGTTTGAGTGAGAATGGCCACCATAGGCTCCTATACTTGCATGCTTGTTTTCCAGTTGGCGGAACTGTTTGGTAAGGATTAGGAGGTGAGACCTTATTGGAAGAGGTGTGTCACAGCCCTCAGCATTCCCAGTTACCCTCCCCCATCTCATGCATGTGGATC